AGCACATCCATCATTTCTTGAACTTGCTAAATTATTAAAAAGGCCAGCTGTTTAGGCTGTTGTAGGTGTTGCTGCTAGTGAAAATGTTAGGATGAGGCCATGAACATTATACTTGTAGCAGTAAATACTCCCTTGTAGCACTACATAAAGTGAATGTGCACCCCTTCAAGCTGTTTCTAGTGATAGATGATGAAAGTGCTACAAAATAGTACCTTTGAAAGAGGAATTTCTGTGTTCTGTATCACTACATGTAACTTTATAGTTGCTTGTAGGGTTACAGGGGGTGTCTCTAGGACCTACCAGTGTCTCAGTCCTCCCCTCCAAGGGAGTAGAGAGGGAGAGGGGCTGGCTCCTTGACAGCTTGCCTAGCTGCACTGAACTGGTATACAGTCCTGATGGGACCCTGTTGTAGTGAGGAGCAAGATGAGCTAACTTCCTTGTGATGCCAGCATGGAGAGCTGCCACAGCAGAAAAAGCCACAGGAAGCTCTTCCCACTGCTGTGGGAACACTGGGAAGTGACTGCATAGTACTTTTGTGTGTGAAATGGATATGATTGCTAGTGGTTAGAGAGCCCTGAATAGTACTAGTTAATCTGACTTAAGTGTTGATAGTTTTCTCAAGCTCTGATAAATCATCTGTTTCAGGCATCATTAAAACTGTTGAAAACCATACCAAATTCATACTACTATTGCTTAGGAAAGCTTGGAGGGGAAGCTCTTTATAAGAGGCCTAAATAGTACTAGTTGGCTTAAAAATAAAATAGTCTATCCATTCTTTGAATACATCTGTCCATTCTCTGATGTGGGAAAGAAGAAAAACAAAGTACTTCCTCTTTCTAGCCCTTGTGGGTAGGAGAGAGTTAAGAACTAAAGCTTCATATCTATTTTAAATTGCCATTGGATGATTTGAAAGGTTGGATTTTGTTTTGCATGTGTAGGCTTTGAGCTGGCTCAGTGTGATGCAGTCCCAGGTGCACATTTAAGTAGGGTGCCCCGGAGCAATAAAGTCCAGCACAATAAGTGCTGGACTTCATTGCTTTGTGTTAATTGCGTATGTCCTGTGAGTAGCAGGCCTGCTGGCGTTCACACTTCATTCGCAAACCAGACATTGCAACAATTATTCCTGAAGTGTGAGTAAATAATAAAAGTGTACCATTTTAAAGCAGTGGATGCAATAAGCATGCAGATTCATATATCTGCCACTAGTAGTAGAGCACAGGCACTCCACTTGCTATTATTGTAGACAAAGCCCAAACTGCTGAGTTCCAGAATAAACTACTTAAACTTTGTAGCTGGAAAGATCAATGTAACTTTTCTTTAAGCATCCACGAGTTTAACTTGGAAACTAGGTATTGCTGGAGAGAGACTTACTAAATCTAATATAAAGAGGAATATCTTTCACAAATACTGTAGGTTTTTCACTGTAGTGTGATTTTTAGCATTTCTTCGGGGTTTTGTCAATCTCAACACCGTGAGAGTACCTGAAGTCAAATCAACAGTCTATATTCAAGCTGAGTGGAATGTAAAATAATAGCTTGAATGGGAAAGCAAAAGGAAATACAGTATAACCTCATGAAGCTGAAATGCTTGGGGCTGAGCACCTGCCAGAAATTTGAAAACTCTGGGTTTTTTTTAAACCAGAGCAGTGGCCAGTCCTGGACGGTGGGAGTGGGGGTGGCGGTGGTTGGTTCCAGAGCAGCAGCCATATGCTGAGCAGCGGCACAGGGTGGTGGATGGCGGTGGCAGCTGCTGCGTGCAAGCCTTCCCCCTTTGCTTCTCAGGGACCGGCCACCACTACTCCCCAGTCTAGCGTAGATTGGGTGATCTAGTGATGTTAAAAAGTGCCAGATATTTGATATCTGGATTTTATGAGGTTGTACTGTACTAAAGAAACAGTTTTATCTGGACATTATTTCTTTGATTTATATCTTTGATCAAAATCATGGGGAAAATAGAGCTGGAAAGGATCTTGAGAAACTTAGTCTGGGAATTGGCAACCTACACCATCAGCCAGATCCATCACACAGTGCCACATCATCTGCAGCAACAGAAAGAAGTGAGGATGGTGACAGTGGCCAGGTCCTGACACTGGCCAGCCATGGACACAAGCTGGGGCATTGTGGCATGCTTCTTGAAACAGTTGCAAACTGCTGATGCAGTCCCTTTCTTTTGTCCCCAAGTCCTTCATGATCAATGTGTGGTCTAATCTGTGCTTTAAAAGTGATGGAGGTGCCACAGTATCCCTAGGAAGGTAGCTATTGCTTAACTATTATAGTTAGAAAGGTTAATGTCTAACCTAAGTCTCCTTTGTTATAATTTAATGCATTATTTCTTGTCCTAGGCCCTGTACACAATAACCCTTTACATATTTGAAGAGTCTTATGTTTCCCTTCCATTTTCTCTTTTCTAAAGTAAACCATCCCAGTTCTCTCAACCTTTTTCTCATGGGTAATTTTTCCTAGACCTCTGATCATTCTTTTTCCTCTGGACTCTTACTAGTTGGTATACATTTTAAGGTATGGTGCTCAACACTAAACCTAGTACTCCAGCTGAATACTTACCAAGGGCTGAGTAGAGTGGATTATTTTGTCTTGCATAGTACTCTTCCATTTTTATATTCTGGTATGTGCTTTTTAACAGTAGTATGATATTTGTGATTCATTTGGAAAAAAGCATGAGGATCCTGAAATGCTGGCCCATTTTGAATGTGCTTGTATTGATCAGTTTTTTTTTAGTATTTTTACACTTGTCCTCATTGAATTGCATCTTTGCTATTTGAGAACAGTTCCCTTTCCTCCCGTTTTCAGTATCGCTTTAAATTCTAATCCTGACCTCCCAACATGCTTATGATCTCGTCCCAGCTTGCAAATTTTAATTGCATTGTCCAGTGTGTTGTTAAATTTATTACTGAAAATATTGAATACTACTAGAGTCAGGAGAAACTCCTACAGAATCTCACTAGATGCAGCCTACCATTTTGATAGACGGTTTTAATTACTCTGAGTGTGGTTTTCCAGCCAGTTGTCTACCTGTATAACAGTAGTTAAGTGAATATCATGTTTTCCTAGTTTGTTTATGAGAATTTTAATGGAGATGGTGTCAAGAGCCTTGAGGAAGGGTTTCCCATCTGTAGCTGCTTAACTAGTGAAAAGGCCTATCATAAGGTGACAAGGTTGGTTTTTGGTTTGTTTGGTTTTTTTGTGTGTCGCGTGTTCCTATGGATCCATTTTGATGACTACTTACCAAGTGGTGATCCTCTAGGTGTTTACAGTCTGGTTAGTCTGTAAAGAAGAACAAAAACCCAACTCTTTCATTTGCAGTTTTATATGAAGTAGGACCTGATTTTTATTTTCAAAAACATCTTTTTTTTCCTCTCTTACCACAAAAGTATTAGGAATGTCAATCTTGCTTTTATTTATTTCTTCCCCGCCCCTCAGCCATGCTGGATATTGTACAGTGCCGATGCTGATGTTCCTTCTCAGTCTTCACCTGAAACATGAGGATGTAGAACCTTCAGCAGAAATTTTCTTCCTTCAAACATTTTGGTCACTAAAATTAAATGAGTGTAATTAAACCCCTAATTTGAGTTGTAAATGGATGTATTAAAAAATCCATTCTTGTCCCCTCCTCAGTCACCCCCTCCCCCAAAGTAAAATTTCTGATTTTTAATTTACCTATTTTCCTTTTGATTTTATCCTGGAAGACTGAATTCTAAAGTAAGATAAAAGTTAATCTGTACATTATACTTTCTGGAGAGCTAAAAATGGGAAACAAATTGGATTTGTGACAATAATAGGTTATACCATTTTAAAAAAAAAAAATGCCCAAAGCTTTCTGTTGCTGTTTGTATAACTTCTTTGTAGAAACTCATTTGTAATTGTATCTTGCCATTTGCATTACAGCTTAGGGCTGTTAGTGGGATTTTTCCAGGTCTTGAACCCAGCAGTACTTTTTCCATTTTACTGCTGTGAAACATGGAAATAGATATACTGTCATAAGAATGAAAACTGCACATGACCAGAAAGGAACCTTGGAGTAACTTCTAAACTGGTGCAAGTATTTACTAGATAGCCTTAGGGAGACATTGTCCAATAAATAATGCATAGGATTAGAATTGGAAATTCTGGCCAATATCTCTTATTTGCTGTTTAATCTTGGATTTAGCTTCTCTCCATTAGTTTATCTTTGTCTCCTAAGGATAATACCTAGTTTCATGGGCCATTATGAGGATTAATATAAACATATGTAAATATGTACATTGCTTGAACATGAAAAACAGTTTATTGTTGGTGTATTTAATTATGATGTCTGAGTAGAATGAAAAGCTTCTAAAAGAATAAAAAGCCTTCAGCAAGAAATAGTGTAACTATGGTATTTCATGTTATAATACAATGTAATCATTAGTCTGATGTGCATCAGTTTTACCTTACACATTGTACTGGTGATAAACTAGAAGTCTTCTGACCATATGTATCAAGAGAACCAGCTCTTTGTTACTTGTATTGCCTTAATTAATCTTCACAGTATACCTATGAGAGTGACTTACATCCCTGTTTCCTGGATACCCAAGATTCCCCGAGATCAGTTGCCCAAGATCACACATGACAAAGTAGTGTCTTCAGTCCTGGCCTACCCACCAAGCCAGCATTCCTCCTTTTAATTAAAATGTCTGTTCTTAGCATTTACATTGGTGATTTTCATAGTTAATTATTTCAGAGAGTCAAAGGAAAGTATGTTTGAACAATTGCATAATAGAACTGACAAGAAAAATAGGTAGGTCTTGGTGAATAGAAGAGTTTAGACTAGCTTTGCACGAGTTCTGTCAGGAAAGATAACTAAAAGAGAACTCGATTTTTAGAAACTTAAAGTTGCATAATTTGGAAATTGGCTAATATATAAAGCTTAGGTCTATATTTAATGGCTTAAATTGTTGTTTGTCTCTTATGTGTTAAGTGTACAAATTATGCCTTTGCACATTTTTTCTTTCCCTTTACAGATCTGCTGAATCTGTTTTCATAGTCACAGTCCAAAGATCACCTACAAGAAGGGTTCACTCTTTAAATGGACCTCTGTTTTCACGGTATGGCTCAGGTATCTGATAGCAATGGATTTAACCAGCAGTCATCACCTTCTTTGGGGATCGCAAGGACAAAAGATGTGGACAAAGAAGAGGCATTACAAATGGAAGCTGAGGCACTAGCTAAGATGCAAAAGGAGAAAGGAACAATTAGTAATAAACTAACTCATGGTTCCTTAAGCAGCACCAAAAATAAAGCACACACTCATAATAAACAAGATTATGATCTCATGCTGTTCCCAGAGTCTGATGCCGAAAGGGGGGAAGGCAAATTAAGTTCCATTGACATAGATAAACTTTCTCATGCTGAACTAGAGAAACTGCTTCTGGATGACAGTTTTGAATCTAGTAAAGTACCTGCTTTACCAACAACTCCTGTTTTGAGCCCATCAGTTTCTTCACAACTATATCTTAAGCCTACAGGTCAAAGGGGACAGTGGACACCTGGAATACCTGGACCAGTGACTTGCACTTTACCTCTTATTAACCCAGTGGCTTCTTACAATAAACAAGCTGGTGTATTTCAGAATGGCTTCCATCCAAGTATGTCCACTTATCAGTCGGCAGAACCTGTCTATCTCCATCCTCCAGGACGGTCCCAATACATTTCATATCCATTATCAGCTGCTGCACCTTTTCATCCGCAGAGAAGTTTACCTTTGTATTGTCCAGTGCTTACACCTGAAATGGCAAATTTGTTTGATAAAATTGCCAGAACCTCAGAATTCTTGAAAAATGGGAAGTTAAACACTGACTTAGCCATGACTGGCATTAAATCTGCAGTTCCTAATCTGTCAGATGCAGAAAACTGTGGTGATATTAGTAAATTTGATTGGCTAGACTTGGATCCTCTAAGTAAACCAAAAGTGGATGGTGTGGAGACTTTGTATAAAACAGAGGATGATGGAAATGTGACCTCTGTTTCGGTTGTAGAAGATCCCTGGGATGCTGTACTACTAGAAGAAAAATCACTAGTAACATGTCATCTTGAAAGAAAAGTTAATGGGAAGCTTGCTTCTGGAGCAACTGTTACAAGGAGCCAGTCCTTAAACATTCGAACAACTCAGCTTGCCAAGTTACAGGGCCAAACACCACAGGTATAGTAAATCAGTATTTTGAATTGTACTGTTTGTTACACTGGCAAATATTAGTCGCAATGACTTGAAAGTCTTGGATAAAAATCTTTATCTTCTTAATATATGAAAGTGTAGGCAGAGACGAATGTCTAAATAAGCTGGTAGCCACTGGACTATGTGCATTCAAATTTTGGAATCTATAGCACTACTATTAGAGGGTTTTAAATAAACTAATTGCTCCAGTGTAAACTTCCTGGTTTGCTAAGGAAGTTCTAGAATGTTTTGCCAACATTATCCCAGAATAGAAAGATGATGATGGTGGGGTATTTGCAATCTTGTTACTAACTTGACTTTCATAATTATGCTGCTTAACAACAAGTGTGGTCAAACTGTTCTGTTTGCTTCTGGAGCAAAAGCATTTGAGCATTATATACAGGTAAGTGTATCATATTTCCCTCTGTGTAGGAAGAAAACCTGGAGGGCTACAGTAGTGAATAGCTGCCATAATCTTATTACATTTCTTCCTTGTTAGTTGAAGTAAAGCTTATCCCTGCAGCTGTAATAAGCTGATAAATTCTAACAAGGCAGAATATGCTCACTTAGTCTTAAGTAGGGAAAGCTGAATGTGTTCAAAACTGCTCTTTAAAATTTGAAGTGCACTAAAAGCATTGCTTGGAAAAGAAGACTGTGTACACAAGCATGGCCAGATCTCTTGATTCTTTCCCAGAACCCATAATTTTGAAAAGACTGTTTTGAGGAGAGGAAGCGGTAAAAAATCCTAGTGTATCTCCTATGACCTCATTTTAAAGGGTGAAAAGAAGACTAGATACTTAAGTTGCAATAGGAATACTTTGCTCATGCATACCATATGGTTTCATTTTAAAGGATGAGAAGATGACTAGAAATTGGTTACATAAATGAACAAAGTATTATTTGGCATATGAACAAAGCAATAAATGCAGCAGAACAACAAACTAGATATGCATAGTGAGACTGAGAGGAAAAAAGGGAGAATTAAAAAAAACAAACATTTCAGGTCCCTTTTTGTAGACCTTTTCAAATGCAGGCCTCTAACCAGTAGATTCTAATCTTCTAAATACCTTGTTAGAAACAACAGAATTAAAACATGTCTCTGTGGAATAAACATTGCTTCCCTCACCACTTTCATGGTTGTGTAGGAACACTCATTTTGCTGTATGCTGACATCATTTGCATGCCATGGAGCAATGATATATTATAATGTTTCTGTGGTAAAAATGTGCTGAGGCAACACACAGTGTAGAGTCAAAGGGTGTGATGAGGAGGACAGGGCATTGAACACAGTTGCTAATGTAGGTCAAGGCTGTCCAACTGGTGGCCCACAAGTCTCGGGAGCAAGGTGACACAGAGCACCTGATGGACCCTGTTTGTTTGCCTATGTGATGGGAGTCCTGGGAAGTCTGCAGGGACCATGGCCCCTGCCGTGTGCAGCCTTCACATTTTGTATGATGGAACCCGTGACCAGTACAGTGTGCAGCCAGCCCCCAGCTACTCAAATTGGACAGCTGTGATGTAGGCTGTTGGCCTGTCTTTCAGAGTTGCTGAGCACCCACAATTCCCATTTAAATTAACTGGAGCTGTGAATGGTCAAAACCTGCTCAAAGTCTTGATGTAAACCAGCAATTATATCCTTCCTGTTTGCTGGGTTGCTAAAAACTTAAATGCCATATTTCTAATACCAGTAGTGTTGTGTGATCAAATTAACTATTATAAAAGAATGAAACAAGCTAGATTAAAGGAATAATATCACATAATATGCCTGTGAAGGGAAAATACTAGGCTTGCATCTTTATTGTGTTATAATATATAAAATAAGTGTGAAAAGGTCCTTGATGTATCAAAAAAGAACGTAGGAATTTCATATCTCCTTTTTCCTGTTTTGTTTGAGGGCTTATTGGAAAACATAAATATCAGTTACCTAGATAGTGTTATTTCTGCCGAAGCCCTGGTTCTTGGATAGCAAAAAATACCTATTTATACTAAAGAGTTGATATTTGTCTGTCTTTTAAACTACTAAGAATATGAAAGTATTCTTACCTGTGCTTAACGCAGTTTTGCTTAGCACTATTTTGCTATAATGCTCATTTTAAATTGATGCCTGATTTCACTTGGCGTTCAGCAGGTTTCACTATAACACTCGTGGTCGCCATCTTGGGTCATCAGATAATTTCGGTTCTGCTTAAGGCTCGGTTTTTCAGGGACCAATTAAGGGTGCTAAGTGGGAGCTGCCTGTAAATGATATTAAAATTGCTGAAATCAAACACTGCCATAGAAAATTTCCTCTGGTAGGACAGGGGTTAGCAATATATGGCCTGCAGAGCCAGAAGGGTTAGCCTGTGCCAGTGTCTTTGCTTAAGTCTGTTTTGATTGAGGTTTGGTATGAGACCTTTTATGAGCTTGTGAGGGTGTAGATTACTCCACATCTGCCTATTAGGACCATGCACTGGCCAGAGTTAATGAGTTCTCTAAAGAAGGCCACTATTTTGGTTTTGTTGCGTCTAGAATGGCTTTCCTAACCAGTTACTTCTGCAGTGGTTCACTGAGAGATTTGTTTTCATTCCTGTCAAGAAGCTGCAGCATCTAAAGAGAAATAGAGGACAGGACTGTAAACTAGTAGGGGAATGATGGCAGGAAAAAAAAGGATCACAAAATGTCAGTGCTTTGGCGGGGGGAGGGGGTTGGTATTTTACATTGCAACTATTTGAATAGCATTCCCTGTCCAAACATCTAGGAAGAACTGGAGTGAGCTCTTGGGTTTGTTATGCAGGAGTCCTCAGTTGGATCCAGCCAGTGCCAGTAGCCATAAGGTCCTATGGGAGGAGCTGTCACAAGTTGGCATGGGCAGCCAAGACTGACTAGAGGATCTGTTCACTCAGGGTTATTGGAAGCTCTTTCCAATTCCCACTAATAAGTCTGCATTGCTCATGTTGCTTAGACTCAGGTTGGATAGTTAAAATGGTTATATCAAGGATATTTTTTGGTTTACTTCCTGATGTCTGCTCTAACGCCCAAACTGTGGGCTTTCCAGAAAAAAAAGCATCATACAGGCAGTAGCTAAAATAACTTTCTATTGATGTAAAATTCCTAGTCTTTCAATTTAGTGCTTCCTGCAGTTTCATAGATTTAGGGTCAGAAGGGACCTAGTAGATC